GTAAATTAAATTACGAAGGACCACCCGCTTTTAAAGTAAAGAGGGAAACTGAGAATTTCAGATCATTAGATAAAATTCTAGAGAAAACCAGTGACTATGGATATGACTAGAAAGTATGATCATAAGAATAATTAATGGGCTGTATTATTAAAACCAAACCTCAAACACCTACATTGGGGGGTTATTACTGGAGGTCAGTACGTCCAGGAATCAGTGTGGTTCGTTCACTAATTCTATTAATAATAATCTAATCCTATAATTAATGTTGAATATAATATTATTCATACAAAGAAGAACATGAATATGAGCATAATAATGAGTTACAGTAAATCACACATTATGTTGTACATTCTGAATGTATCAAATTGCAATGTTATGAATAAAAGAAATAAGCCTTAGCTGGTAATAGATTCCTTTAGATAACCCTGGCAGTCCTCTTAATCTCCAAGTCTGGTACACCGACGAATGACCCGGTTAGCATGGAGAAGACAGCATGAGGAATTCGTCTCTCGAGCTGCAAGATAAATGACTACCAGTAGCAATTGATTTAACTGCTCAATACATATTCAAGATTATTGATAACTACAGATAGAATTCTAATCACCTGTTATTAGGTGTTGTCGTGCCGCGTGACGCGCAATCACCCCGCTATTATTAAACCTGTAAATGATGCATCAAATAAAAGGTACTTAGCTGTGGGCACTGTGTAAGTATTAAGATTGCCGTAATTTCGCATCCCAGGCTCCGGCGAACCTATCCTGGATTGATGCGTTTCAAGTTGGCTGATCACGTGTCGTCAGGAACCAAGTCTAGGGGTCCCTTATTTAACACCAGCACTAGCTGAAGATATTATCTGCAAGGTCGTTCACGCCTCACAGTGGCGGCTTTCATCTGTGGATAGACACACGTGTCCTATTTGCTGGACAATGGCGTCTTTTGTGAGTACGGTAAGCGTGGCTTTGCCTCCTTCTGGCCTTGCACGTGTCCGCTTCCCAACACCGTCACCGACTGGCCATGGCGTCGCGTCCCTCCCCCCACGCCGAGTCGACGTTCATTACACAAATTATTGGCATGAACATTAATATTTCTCGCATTTGCGCTTGAAACTCTAAAGACTGGACGGGTTTATTATTTAGAGGAACGAAATATTAGTATTTAACTATTTAAGAATAGTAAAGATACAAGGGAGAGGAATTAATGTCTCCCCATAGCATTCATTGATGACGTTAACACTATCGCGAGGTAGACGGTATAATTCTAACGCTCTATTCGGCTTTTAGTTAGAAAACAATTCGTCTGCAATCAGTTGTCATACAGAATGCCTTAATTATGGAGAATCGTATTTAATTCTCACACAAATTGTATATAATGTGTTTTACTGTAAAGAAATCTGACGCAATACTAGCATCAGATGACGTGAGAATTCTAGCCTAATGCACAGATGAATTATTAGTACAGGAGAATTCTACGAGTTGTTAATTTTACTTACTACAATATTAATATGATTAGTAATAAGTAATGAGAATACAACAATGCTGTATTCGATGTTGGAAATATCCAACATCCGGCGATTCTTCCAGAGGTACGGCTCCGTCATCAGTGTGCAGATGAACTCACTGTCGTCTGGCACGTATTCGGGTGTGAAGACCAACATTCGGACCCTCGGGATGCGACTGAGGTTGGACATACCGTGCTCTGTCCGGCTGTTGGGGTACTACGTGCGTGTGTTTTATGCCCGGCAACCCCGTACTTGCTTCCGGTGTGGCTTGTTGGGGCATCAGGCTGCCGGGTGTACTGCTGATCCGGTCGCTCCTGTGAACTTGTTCTGTGAGGAGGATTTCCCGCCGCTCCCTCTGGAGGAGGACCCCGGGGGTGAGGAGGTGAGCGTCCCGTTCGCTGCTGCGGCTTCCCCAGTGTCACCCGACGTTTCCCCGGTTGTTGCAGACCCTCCTCCGGGTGTTGCGGTGCCGTCGGATGTTCCTCCTGCCCATGTCTCTGGCACTGCCGTTCCCATGGACCTTCCTGGTGATCCCTGTGGAGCGTCGCCGTCGGCTTCCTCGTCTTCGACTGTGGACCCTGGCCCTGCGTCCTCCCCTCGGGTTCCTCCTGTGCTGCTTGCTGGGGTGGCTGCGGTGCCTCCTGCTGTGTGTGGTCCGGTTCCCCCTGTGGTAGAGGCTGCTGCCGTTCTGCGACGGGCGTCGGTTCGCCCGGTTCGTGAGGGCCGTGGTTCTGGGTCCGCCTCCGGCTGTGAGGATGTGCGGCCAGTGCCCAAGCGGTCCAGGCGTTCTTCTGCTGCTTGGGCTGATGCGGAGGACTACGACGCAGGTGGAGCTTCGGGAGATGATGTGGCGCCTCCGGGTGCTTCGCGCTCTACGACGCTGGTGGTGGCTGACGTCCATGTGTCTGCTGTTGACGATGGTTGTACCTATGATTTACCTCCTGTTCTTTCTCCTGCAGAAGGTTCTCCGCAGTGGGGGGTGGTCGCTCCTACTGACGTGGATGATGAGAGTTCTGGTGCGCGCCGTGGCATCAAGCTGGTACTAAAGAAGGATGCCAAGCATGGGGGGTCCCGGCAGGAACAACGTTCGGTGGTTGACGCGGAGCACTGTGAGGCAGCCGAGGAGGCTCCCAGTGCGCTGCCCATTGCCCGGCCTCGTGGGAAGGAGCCCCTCCCTCTCATCTTGGCCTCCGGAGTGGCGCATGATGCGCAGCATCCTCTGCAGTTTAACATTATTGACCGCGTGCATCCTGTTCCGTGGTGCCCTTCTTCCATCTGGGTACAGCGGGCTCGGTGTTTTGTTGTGGGTGTGCCCGAGTTGATGCCTGATCCTCGAACTGTTAATACTGTACCTGTTCCGAATGACGTAATGTTACTGTGGGAGGCGTATTGTGTTCGGTTCCCGGCGGCGGAGTGGCCAGATAAGTATGAACAATTTGAGTAGTCTGTGTGCTTGCTGTGACCTGTGGTTTGTTTGCAATGTATTGTACCTATTGTGCGCCCTTCAGGCCGGTGTTGTGTTTTTCATGACTGTTGTTTTGTTGTTTTTATTGTATTTCCGTCCTGTATTGTTGTTTCTTTGTGTTCATTGTTGTGATTTTGTTGTCGGTCCTTCAGGCCGGTATTTAGTGTATTTGTGTTACTTTGTATATATTTGCTTTGTGCTTTTGTATGTTTTTTGTTGTCTGATTGTTTGTTATTGGTTTCTTATTTTATTATATTTATTGTATTGTATTTATTCGCATGTTCGCATGTAAAAAAAACAAAAAAAAAAAAAAAATGTGCGACATGCTACGTGTTCCTGTGATGGCCGTCTACGGTTTTGAGCTGGTAACTGCTCACTGGGTTGTTATCAAGTTTGTGCTGGAGGAGGAGTACAGTGACTACCTCCGTCGTTACGAGGGACGTTCGTTGCCGTTGCCGAGTGGTGCCGGCTCTGTGTCCATCTCGGACCGTAGTGGTGCACTGACTTATGTCAGTGTGCATGGGGCGCCCCTGGAGTTTCCCGAGGACCTCCTCTGACGTTACTTTCAGAGGTATTGGGCGGTCGTCAGTGTGTGGGTGAACACGCTCTCCACAGGGTGGTATACATGTATACGTCTGCTTCCTCGTCTTCAGCTGCTGGACCTGGCCCTGCAGCCTCACCTCGTGTCACTCCTGTGCTGGGGGCTGGGGTGGCTGCGGAGCCTCCTGCTGTATGTGGTCCGGTAGCCCGTGTGGTAGAGACTTGAGGCTCTGGAGGTCGTGGTTGCCGAGATCCTGCTGTCTGTAAGGCCGGAGAGCTTTCTTAATGGGCGGGTTCCCGGTATTTGGAGTAAGGTGGTGGTCACTCGCCTCTGGAGTGACACCGCTTGGGTTCCCTGTTTGCAGGTGTTTGTTGACGGGGTTCTGGATACCATGGCATCCCCGGTGGGCGGTCGAGACTCTTGGGGAAGATGGCTGCTTTGGGAGGCATTCCATGTGCGGTTTCCCCGGGTCTTGTTCCCGGGCAAATATGTCAGCTGATTTCATGTTCCTGTAGTGTTGTGTGCCCCTATGGCCCTTTTGTTTGCCCTATTGTATTTTGTGCACGTGCCTCTCCCGTCTTTGTTGCGAGGCCGGTGTTTTGGTGAGTTTTTTTTTATTCATGTATTTGCTTTTGTGTTGTTATTTTGCCATATGTGTTCTATTTATGTATTGCTAGACTGTGTTGTGCGATTTCCTTGTTCTACTTCATGATGTCCTTTATGATGTGTTTTGTTCTCGATCATTCAGGCCGATGCTTGTTTGTTGTTGTGTGTGTTCCTATGTTTTGTTTTCTTGATTGCATGGATTGTTTGTTTCTTATTATTGTATATTTTGGCCTTTCCACTTTGTTTATTGTGTGGCGGTTGGTTTGGTGTGAGTGTTTTTATTCATGTCTTGTTTCTGTGAATGTACCTTGCACTGGTGTTTTATTATTGCATTACATGTTGTGCTTGTTTGTTATTTTTGTTTTGTTTGTTGTTTATTGTGCTTTTCTTGTTATGTTTCATGTTATACATCTTGATGTTTGTTTTTGTTGTATACTGATATGTTTTATAATGTTACTGTGCTTGCTTGTTTTGACATTGTTTTCTCTTTTGATGTATGTTCTTGCATTTCTCGTGTTTGTACTCTGTTGTCCTGTGCTGTCGGCCCTTCTGGCCGGTGGTTTATTGTTTTGTTTTGTTTTGCTATGTTTTCTAATGTACTTTTATTGTTTTTATTGTACTTAAATTGCATGTGTTACATGTAAAAAAAAAAATTGTATCCGGGCATCGAGCTGTTGTGAAATTCTGCTCTACGGCTGTGTATCGTGACTTTGTGGATCGCTATGATGGGAGGACGTTTACTCTGCCTGAGGGTGGTGGTTCGATGGAGGTGTCGGACAGGTGCAGTGACACTACCTATGTGGCAGTTCATGGTGCTCCCTTTGAGTTCCCTGATTCTCTTCTCCAGCGTCACTTTACCTGGTATGGGCGGGTCTTGAGTGTCCGGACTAATGCAGTCTCCTCCGGGCAGTGGAAGGGCATCCCGAACTGTGACACTGCACTTGAAGGACTCCATCCCTTCGTCTCTCCAGCTTCTGTGCTTCATGGTCCGCGTATTCTATGGGGGTCAGCCCCGGACTTGTTTTCGGTGTGGACTCCCGGGCCATCAGGCTGCGGGATGTGATGCGAGCCGGATCGGGCCTGTGAACCACTTCAGGGAGGAGGACTTTCCCCCGTTGGCGGTCCCGGACCTGTCGGAAGGTGCTGCTGTGATAAGTGATACTTCCCAGTCGTCTGGTGCCCCGTTGTCGATCTCTGATGCCGGCCTCGATGTGGCTGTGGGTGTCGAAGTGGAAGTTAGTGCATCCCCACCTCCAGCACCTCAGCCTCCCCTGCCTGCCTCGTCTCCAGTCGAGTCTCCAGTTGTGTCTCCTGTGGTGTGTGGTCTCGTGACTCAGGACGTCGAGGCTGCGCCTCGGCCTGTACTGTCTCCGGCAGCTGTGTCTTCGGCCTGTGTCGACGTGCACACTGTGATGTCTCCTGCGGTGTGTGGTCCTGTTCCCCGGGTTGTTAAAGCTGCGATGTTGAGTGATCGTGCGCTGCGGGGAGTTGCGCGACCAATCGGCGATTCTGCTATGGTGCCTCCTGGCGGGGGTTATAGTTCCGACGATCTGCGATCTGTGTCCAAGCGTTCGCGGCGGGCTTTAAGTCTGTCTCCGCCTCATGGTGTGGCCTGGGCCGACGTCAAGGATTTTGAGGACTCCGGAAGTTCGTCTTCTGTGGATGGTGATGTGTGCAACGCTGTTGGAGTGCCTGCGGTTCCTGTGGGCAGTGTTGCAGCGGTGATGGGTCCTGAGGTGGGATTGTCGCTTGGCCTTGGTCCGGTGTCTTCTCCGGCTGCCTCCGCATCACCGGTTGCTGAATCCCCGAGTTGGGAGGTTGTGGCACCGGCTGAGACTGCGGGAGAGGTAGGGGACTTGGTGCTGGTTCTTAAGAATGCTTCTGTTCCGGCGGCCTCCGTGCCTCTGGCGTCTATGTCTGTGCCTTCCGTGCATCTGCCCTTTGCTCAGCCGTCCTTTGTTACTCCGCCCCCTGCACCATCGCCCTTTCTATGAATTTTGTTTGTGTGTTTTCCTGTTCTACTGTTTGTCGGTGTGTTTCTGCTTTGTACATGTGAATGATGCTGTTGATGTTTTTCTGTTTTGTTGTATTTGTGTTTCCCAAATAAAAAGAAAAGAACCTAAAACACAATCATCAATATTAAAGCGTTCTACATTAAAAATCAGTATTTTTTTCATAATTCTATTAACAGAATTATATATTAGAGTTTGGTGTATAGTAAGACCTAATTTAGGCAAGTTATTTTTTCAGTTTCTTGTCAGTTATTCAAGCTGTCATGAAGCCAGGATCGTTTAACCTGCAGCGTTCCTAAGATGCATTCATCAATTTTAACGTGTAGTGTATTAAAAAAATGTTTGTTCTCATTTATAAATTTTTATTATTATATATTAAAGTTTTATGTACAGATAGGCATAGTTTAAGATGGGTGAAGTGTTTAGAATCTGTTATTGATTATTTGTATTTAAAGTACGTGGGTGAAATATTTACAGGACTGCGAGTCAAATATAAAACGTCAGCGAAGCACTTGTTCGAAAAGTGTTCGAACGTCATCAGTTATGAGTCGTGTATAAACCGTATTTTTTATTCATAAACAGGGGGTTTGACGACTGGATTAACGAGCATTTGGACTCTTTTGATGAGGAAGGGCTGACACTATTTTATTTGTATAATGTGGCTGGGGCAGATATAGAGGTGGGATTCGAACAGAGGTCGTCGGCGATTCCCAAGTCGGGAAATGTTCGAACGTCGTCAGTTATGAACGTAGTCAGCTGTCGTGTACTAAGGGAGGTGGCAGCTTGAAGCCAGTATTCTCAGCACCTGACCTGATTTATATTACTATTACTTGCACTTTATTTTGTCTTAGAGTAAATTTCACAACCTTTAATTATTCATGTTGTTTTGTTTGTTGACTTGTTTTGAATTTTATGTAAGCCAAGAGATTGTCTTTATTCATATCTTGTTTTCTAGAGTAATTAAAATTTCATTGTTTATACTTTGTGTTTTGTGTGTCTTCCCATTACCTTACCACAGACAAACGGGCAAACGATCTTCTTTTTTTTTCTGTAATGTGACGAGGCCTTGCCCCCAGCTATTGAAACAGCCGAACATCAAGACTTGTTGAAGTGTAGTGCACTTGAAGACTTCTTGATGTGTAGTGCACTACACATCAAGAAGTCAACACCAGCAATCAACAGCCAATTAATGCACAACTATATTCTACCCACTTCAAGACTCCGCTCCAATATAGAAGCATCAAGAAATATGGACCAATTGGCTTTCTACAATTACTTCCATTCAATACCCATTGTTTCGTGTTCTGTCTTGTGTTTGAATTTAATACCAATTTAATACCCATTGTAGAAAGTTCGTTTTCACCTCATCCACCTCACCCAAATGTAGATATAAACTCGAAGATGTGCAAAGCTCTATTCAGTTTCAGTTGTGTGTTTGTAAACTAAAGTCTTTGAAAATGTAATAAGTTTTACGAAACGTACTCAAGTGTCGCGTCAGACTAGAAATAAAAATGAATTTTGGAGAATTGATCTTTGAATTACCATCAACAGTGAAAAGAAACGTAAGAAAGATAGAGAAAATTCGTGTTAGAATTATTAATCTTACTTTTTCGGTCATATTTAATAATAGGTGTCTACAGGAAAGACTGCTATATACGACTGTATATATATATATATATATATATATATATATATATATATATATATATATATATATATATATATATATATATATATATAATATACATATATATATGTCGTACCTAGTAGCCAGAACTCACTTTTCAGCCTACAATGCAAGGCCCGATTTGCCTAATATGCCAAGTTTTCCTGAATTAATATATTTTCTCTATTTTTTTCTTATGAAATGATAAAGCTACCCATTTCATTATGTATGAGGTCAATTTGTTTTTATTGGAGTTAAAATTAACGTAGATATATGACCGAACCTAACCAACCCTACGTAACCTAACCTAACCTCTCTTTATAGGTTAGGTTAGGTTAGGTAGCTGAAAAAGTTAGGTTAGGTTAGGATAGGTAGGTTAGGTAGTCGAAAAACAATTATTTCATGAAAAGTTGGCTTATTAGGCAAATCGGGCCTTGCATAGTAGGCTGAGAAGTGCGTTCTGGCTACTAGGTACGACATATATATACATATATATATATATATATATATATATATATATATATATATATATATATATATATATATATATATATATATATATATATATATATATATATATATATATATATATATATATATTTCATTGAATATGACCGCATATTCTGTATTTATTATTTTCTGGTTTAGGGCTTCTATCCCTCTAACTATTTTCTTAGCATCAGGGCTTAATTGAAATAGGAGTTCTCCAAAACTCATTTTCGTACTTTTAAGGTGAAGAAAAGAAGTGATTTACTATAGAGTGTATTACACTTATTTGTATAATTTGCACGACGTTTCGAACCTCCATGGTTCATTCTCAAGTGAACAGATCTTACAATACTAGTTGATTTTATACCCGCATTAGGTCAGGTGATAATACAATGAAGGTGAAAACATGGGGGGATACATAAGGGATAAACATAGGGGCTGCAGAAGGCTTATTGGCCCATACGAGGCATCTCCTATCTAAACACAAAGATTAATCCAGTGTAATTGGCCTGTTATGTTGGACATTGTCTTCTGTGTTGGCATCGATATGTTCTTGTCTTGTCCTTACTCAGTATAATATTACAATATTATGATTATAATATTACAAACGGAACTTTTTGGGTTTGAATGATTGACCACCTAATGATCATATGATCTCCACAATCCATTCAATCACTGACCACCAAAAATATGGAATTAGGCAAGCACGGGGCTCTGTGAGAAGCATATTGTCATATATGATAGCAGCAGCAGCCTGTTATCGTGGTGAAGGAAGTGGAGAAAATTATTTTCAGATACTAATTGGCAATATAAGACAATCGCTCGTGTGGGTGAAAGCAAACTGCTGAAAACAGAACTGTTTGCGGTTCATATTGCATTGCAACTGCAGACAATTTGTGGTAGATATGGTGACGTCTCGTCCAGAGGGCCCGAGACGGAATGCCTTTGATTGAAATTGATTGTAGGGTTGAGTATTATTTGATCCTGAGATACTAACGTACAAGACAAGCACTAGAGAGAGAGAGACTATAGGATCCGAGGAAGGGAAAGTGTTCCTCGATCGTATTTTAAACTTCAGATTACCGAAAATGTCTGAGAAAAGGCAAGGAAGTGTTTTCTGCGCTAATGGTCTTCGAGGAACAATAATGTAAACTGAGTTCAGATGGACCTTAGGAATTGTTAGCTCCCAATGAGGCCATAACCCTCCAAACACACGACCAAACTACGACCTTCCTACAACGTTGGAACCATTTGTAACACCACCTACCAAGAAGTAACTGTTAAAAGGTGTTAGAAGGTTGTAAATCGAGCAAGTTGTATTGGGACTGGGAGGTTATAAATAGGAGCTGCCTCGCATGGGTCAATAGACCTTCTCCAGTTACCTTTGTTCTTATGTAACCTCTTTCTAACACGTCGTAACAAACTTTATAACAAGATGTAACAAGTTGTAATAAGGTAACAATAGGAACCGTTACTTTATGTGTGTTTGCAGAGAAATTAAAGATGTTCTGAGGGATGTTAACTGATTCCATACGACACAGGGTTCAAACGCTTTGACTGACAGAAGAAACATTTTGTATTGTCTGTTTTAGAAAACTGTAGAATACAGTATGGGTCCTGTAATGTCAGAATGTTGAATAAATCCTGCAATATCAGAACTGTTTAACCTATTAATTAAAGGCTTGGAAAGCACATAGGTAATAATACAGTTCTTTACTGTATATGGATATTGAGCGAAGGACATTACTATTAAACAAAAAAACACTTTGAAGAGTTTTACCTGAAGACGATATTTCATTTGCTCCGAAAATTATATGTACGTATACATATGTATTATTCTCTGTTTACCTTTAAATTCTCCATTCTTCATGTATAATTTGTACCTGCATAAATACAAATTTTATTAATATTAGAATTATTTTAGTAAATTCTTAATAGAAGAACAACACGTCATCGACAATAATGTCTGCTCATATTTGATGTGATTTGTGTTTCGCTGTCAACATATTTTACTGTATTGAACCAAAATGAAGCTATAAGATATTAAGAATGTGAAGTATGAGAAAATACGGAGGCTGTTGTATAGGATCGAACTAGCGTCCCTGAGCTTCCCAGGTATACCTGGGAAGCTCCCAGGAATACCTCCCAGGAATTTCATCATATTGAAATCCACAATCATGTTCACCTGTCTTTTCCCTGTATTGAACATCTGCCTCATCTACGTTCCTTGCCGTAAACATTGCAATATACATCGAGAGATATACTTTGCAGTGTATGATGAAAATATAGCGAACTATGAAAATAGAATATTACGGTTTATCAATTACATATGCCAGGATTAAATGCACAAATATCTTCTTCCAATTACACCTGACATGGATGAGGTCCACCTAATTGCCACCCAATTACAGACAAGCGTTTCTGATGTGCCCTTTAGTCATCCTACAGAGAAGTCATCAACTCCCTTGAGATAATCCTACACAAGACGCCTAAGCATCCCTCCAGGAAGGATGCCCAGATGCTTGGGACCTCCCATACGAGAGGAGAGAATAGGAGAGATAGAACAAAAAACACGTGATGATGGAGGTGTTCAGGTGAACCAGCGAGAAGCAGGAGGTGGGGGGTGGGGTGAGGGGATGTGAACCGGTGAGATACGAACCAGGTGTTGAAACAATCAACTCAGGTGATAACGATACAGTGAAATCGTGTTCGTATTGTGTTGTTGATTTGTGGTATTGCTGAAAGGGAGAGGAGGAGTGTGGGGGTTGATTGATAGAGGGGTGATGGGGAAGAGAGAAGGGGAGATAAAGGAAGGGGGAAAGGCATT